ACCCCGGTGTCTTCCAGGGCATCTCCTGGACAACCATCCCCCCAAGCATTGCCACTCCAGGTTCGACACTTTCAGCCAGAGCTGAGAGGGTTTCCTCTTGGGTGTCGTCACAGACAGTTGAAAGGGGCACAGGGAGTATCAGGCAATCATCGTTATTACAGGACATTAGAGAGAAGGAGAGGCAGGGTTGATTTTGGGTCATAGAGAGGCAGAGGAGAATTAGATATTACAACATACTGGAGGCAAGTCACAATGTAATTATTGTGAGAAAATCTTATGTCCTTAATTGCAGGTATCTCTTGTTAGAAGCTGATGGTGGAGTCGGACATTAGCAAAGGGAAATAACTGAGAGGTATAAACCATTAGAATATCTGTTTATTGTAGAGGGGCTGCTGGTGGTTTAAACATGATTAAAATGCTGTGATGGTGTTGAGGCTGAAACATGCCTCTGTTTGTAGTGATGCTTGATGCAACTGCTGCTGCCCAAGTTCTCAACCACATGTCTCTGTATCTACAGTCCTGCTGCTTCAAACAAATTCTGTTGACCCAACTGTGAGGGACTGAGCTGGCAGGCGTGAGGAGCCACAGGTGGCTTTTCAAAAATAGGGTTTTATTTAACCAAAGGTTAAGCAGTCAGAAGGGATGTTTTGTGCAATGCCAAGGCCTCGGAGAGTGTGTTGAGAAATCAAGGAAGTTGACCATGAAGCGAGTATTGAGGCTTGTATCAGGACTTTATCGATGATGCCCCAAGCCAGTGAGCAGTTGAGAAGTGATTGAGTAAAAACGAATTAAGTCTTTTCTCTTTCCTGTTTACACAAGCAAATTCAGTGCCCTCTGCCTGGTTAAACTGCTGCCACTCTCCAGTTTTAGAACATTGATATTTACCCTTCTGCCGTAATTAATATATGATATAATTATTGACCGAAGGATTGATTTACACACATTTGATGCATTTTTTTTGCATTGTTGACAGTCATTATTCTCTGTCACTATCAGAGATAACACAGTTGAGATCATCTGTATTATAAAGCTATTTGCTTATTTTACACTCTTTGACCAACAGGTGGTTTTGTGTGCACACGTAGCCGCAAAAAAGAAACTACTTTGCTGGAAAGCTTCAATGCTTCATAAAGCTTTATCTCACCATCACTAGCAAACAACTTACAAAATTAGCAACAGGGTTCTGGCCCCCTAAATAGGTCAACTATACAGAACTTAACTGACCTAACATAGAAAAAATCTGACCTAACTCCTACTCCTGTGTAGTAATGCTGACATCACCACACCAAACTAAGGTGGCAGCTATTAAAGAAGCAGGTTCAGTTATCCCTGCCTTACAGACTATTTACAAATCAAAGGTTTTGGTAGCATTTTAGATGAAGCAGTCTACTTAGTGTTTAACTTGCTCCTGAAACCTGGCACCTCTCAGCCTACACAAATACACCAATACAAGGTGTGCGGAGTCATCCAGTTGACCATATTGGACCCTTTGGCGGGCCAATTCTGGCCCACGTGCCGTGTGTTTGACACCTCTGATACAGAAACAACTAAATTTATTACTCTAAAGAAATAAACAAAATCTATGAACTATAAATTCCAATCACTTAAAATGATGTGGTAAACACTTAGTACATTCCAGCTGGCCACTTCCTGTATTGAAAAGTTCCGCTCTAGGGGGCGCAGCTTTCACTCCAGACTGCCAAGATGTTCGTCCAGCAGCAGCAACCAGCAGCAGTGGGGCCCTCTGCAATTTAAATCAGCTGTGTGGCAGCAGGAGCAACTACCACACACACCAAAGGCCAAAAAGTCCACAGATGTTCTTAATTTATTCATGTCTATTCATTTCTTTTATTCAACAGTTTTTTCTGCTCTGGGTTGAAAACTGTTTTTCTACACTTCTTGTTACATACAAGTACTGTGTGTTGGCAAACTACTGTGTGAATGCACACAACCCCCACACATGATTACATGCCTTAGCGTGTCTCAGGTGCTATCTATAGTAACATTTCTCTGTGTCTGAGTTTAATATAAAATGCAACATTTTTTTGCCATGCTAGTGGCTAGGCTCTCGAGATGGAAATATACATCCGCCCAACACTTTGGTCCAGACTACAATATCTCGACAACTATTGGATGGATTGCAATGAAGTGTTGTACTGTACAGACATCCATGCCTCCCAGAGGACAAAGCCTACTGACTTTGGTAATGCAGCTTGTGAAGCTTGATACAGACCTCCATATTCTCCTCAGGTCCATTTCAATAACTCGATGATCTCTTGATCTTCATCTAACACCATAATCTGGTTAGAACTTAAAATGGTCAAGTGCTTTGGATTATGACTAAATACTTCAGAACTAGCAGCATTTTCATCAGCCTCAGCTGTACCTACTGTTTGGTGCTGATTAGCAAATGTTATGCTAACATGCCCAACCAAGATAGTGGAAGTGCTACCAAATAAATGATATTATTAGTATTTTGTGTAAACTGACATTAACAGATTTATTACTTGAGAGTTGCACTGTGTAGCCTCACATGTCAGCAGGCCCTATTGAAACTTTAATTTTTGCAATTTTGAGGACATGTTGCACATTATCCTCTCTTCTCTGGCCTGATATTCCTCAGGTGGGTTTGAAATATAATTTCAGTATTTTTTAGGGACTCCTGATCTCCTGGAGTCAACATTTCCTTGCGGTTGTTTCACCCTTAGTGACTAAACATGTCACACTGTGTGATTCGAGCTTTTAAATTGAATATGTTTTGCCGTTACAATTAGTTGTATTGTTGTTTTAAGTCTTGATCTTTATGTGTGTGATATGAAAGATACTTATGTTTCTCGTCCCTTTGTATTATGTACTGAACTTCCTTGTGAGAGTTCATTTCAACCCGCACACAAAGTGGTTGTAAAATCGTAATGTGCTGCTGTCTTCCCGTGCACATTTCCCTCTTGCTAATGCGCCCTCAGCTCACAAAAACACAGACATTCGAGGAAGATGGATAGAGAGGCAAATAATCCAGTTAACTTTTCACGTGTTTGCAGGCAGATATTTTCTCTTTAATGTGTTTATCATGACTTATGAGCTTCTCTATAGCAGCCATTAACATATGATTACCATCACAGGGCTAATGGGTTTGTCTATCGTCCCCCCTCCTGCTCAGCTGCTTCATCCCCTTTTCTAAATCTATCTACGTCTTTTGTCTTCCTCTTTTTAGAATTTGCTTCCTCCCTATCTCTCTGCCCTGCACTCTGTCACTCTGTTTTTCTCTTTCTTTCTCTCTCACGCCTCTTCTCTCCTACATGTGTCTCCACTCTCGGCCCCCGTGGCCCCTCATCTCCCAAGCCAGAGCCTCACTCCCACACAATGCTCTCCATTATTGCTTAATTATCTGTGGCCTGCCATTTGAATAATGTACTATCCCTGATTCTCAATCTTTTTCACTTTTCATCTTTCGCACGCTCTTTTTCTATATACCTTTCCTCTCTTCCTCCTTCTTAATCTCCTACTGCTGCCTCACTTCCTCTATCTCCGTCGTTTCTGTGTTGTCAGAAGACTTGTGTCTGCATCCCCACGTTCCCTCCTCAAAGCCCATTGACTCTCCTCTTCTGCTGGTTCATATAGAAATCAAACTGTGTGAGACACAGTGGGAGAGTGAGCTAGAAAGCCCACGTAAGTCTGGTTCATCTCAGCCTGCCAGTTTGATGCAGTTTGATGACGTTTCCTTTCTGCATCAACATGCTTCTTTTAGTAACTGCACCATTTCTGTCTCGGGGACACTATAGTAACACCTATTAACATAATCCCACCATCTTTATCTCTGCCAGCACGAGAGTGGCAAGAAATCAGAGCCCTCAAATTATTCCGCTTTGGTGTTCCTGTAAATTCTGCGTGCCAGCCATTAGAGAGCTCAGATGCTGTACTTTACCAAGTTAAAAATTATCTTCTGTAGTCTCCAAATCCCCGCAGCACCACAGGGCCATTGGGGAAATCAATAATAGAGAGGCGACATTTGTTTGTGTATGGGTGTGTGTTTGTTTCAGTTTAATCTATCTGATGCAAACATCTTTCTAATGTGTGTGCAGCTCTGTGGTCCCTGGCAGAAAATGGATTGGTGCTGTCATCATGGCTCCCTCGTATCAAATACACACCACTTTGTTCCACTGTAACTGTACACTCATTGGGGTATCCCCGCTTGTTTTCTACATTGTTTGTGGCTGATCATTTAACTAAGGATACCTGGGGACACTCGCTGAGGCAAAGCAGAGGAGATGCTTTTGTGGTTCTGTGGTGAATCACAGGATTTTTGATGTGGGGGTTTTGATTTCGATGCTAATGCCAATGTAGAAGGTTTGTGAATCCCAGTAGAGCAGACTGGGGATGGTGGATCAAACACTCAGATCTCTCCCCATGCATCGATGTGTTTGTGCTATGAAGTAAAAGGTAACACTTTCAGTGTGGTTGTTGAAATGTAACATCCTGATTTGCTCTCCTACAGTTTGTTGCTTCATTCTTGTCATTTTTTGAGCTTTGGCCAATAATGAGTCCCATTCAACAGCTGACCTTTGGCTCTGTTTGTTACCGCCACCTTTTATTGTCTGTTCCAGTGAACTCAACACGACTGCATCACAGCAGTTTAGTACATTATAGGAATCAATAACACAAATGGCCCACTCAGTTACTGCTTTTATGACTCAAATAAACCCCAGAGGGCAGATTCTGTAAGGAACTGTCTACACTTCAGAAGTCATTATCAGCATTCTGTACATGAGGTCACGAGCCATTATACATCAGTCTGGTCAATGCACATTAGCGGTAAGCCAAAAAAACATTACTTTGCTTCACACATCATTTTAATTCAGCAGTCTATTCTGAATGTCCTTGTGTAATGTGCACACGAGGAACACATTATGCGGTGTTTTCCTGGCGTCATCTGATCACATGTCAGCTTGCAATCAGTCCTAAGCACGGACATCTAAGTGTGTGTTTCCTGTTTGTTTTTGCAGGGTTGGTCAAGCTGGGAATCCACTGTGTAACATGCCAGAAAGTCGCCATAAAGATTGTCAACCGTGAGAAACTCAGTGAGTCAGTACTAATGAAGGTAAGTTCACAACTTTCGGTTCTTCCAGTGGGGTTCAGATTTACAGTTAAGATTTTTGAGGTCAATTTTTCACTCTGCAACCATGTTTGTTTTTCCTCTGAAGATGTACTGTTTTTTGTTTTGTTTTGTTTTGCACAAGTATTTCCTTTTATGTCTGTAAAGAAGGCCAGTACTAGTGAGACAACTCCATGTTTGTGTATCTAAAGGTGAGAAAGGTTATTGTTTGTCCGGTTTCCGACAACCACATTGTCCCTGTTTAACTGTGGCCAGAGTCTTTGATGAACATCACTCCTCTCTCGCTCCCTAATATCTTAATATGCAGCAGCCAGGCACACTAAGAGTTGGACTGTAACTGAATAGTGATGTCCCTGAGAGAGCCACCTCTTTGACACATAAAGTCTGGGCCGACTGCCAGCCAGCATTTCAAAAATCAAAATTAGAAAGACTGGAGTGCTTGAGTGGGTTTGAAATTTCTACATAAATCAATGGCTGAGCTTGCAAAAATGTTTGAATATTAGCCCTTTTTTTGGCATAATAAGCCTCATGAAGGGTGGATCATTGGCTGAGTTAGTGATAGTAGGTCTTTTGAAGCTGCTGATTTTCAGCCTTTTCAAACTGAGGCAGTCGGCTGTTTTGCTCCCCTGCCAGGAGTCAGAGCCTCCGAGGAACCTCGTGGTAACACAACAATGAAGCAGGTTTCTGCAGCTATAATTACTTTACCCTCACTCCAAAACGCTTCAAAATCGTCTGGGCGAAACGCTCTTATTTGTAATGTCGCTGTTACCCGCACAGCCTCGTTTTGAAGGATACAGTAGGGATTTTCTTTTTTCTTATTACGTCCCAGGGCCCCTGCTGGGCAGCTCTATTCAGTGCCCACGCAAAATTGGCATGCTGCAAAATTGGCCCTTGTGTTGATGGAATAGTTGTAAAGAAAGCAAAGAGAGCAGGAAGATAGAGGACGACAAGATGCTACAACCTGAAAATTGTCTTTCACGGGACACACGCAGAGAGGAGCGCCTACTGTAATTGTTTGCTTATGAGCTGGAAAGCAGGAAGCGGATGGGTTTGCTCACAGTACAGGTTGTCTGCAAATGGAAAATCCCTCCGTTTTGCATCACTTCTGCGGCAGCATCATTAGGCTTTAGATGAAAAGCTCTCTGTGCTCGAATATTGCTGTTTGATAAACAGTCGGTATTAATCAGCTTCTTGCTGTGTCACTGTCTCCCCGACTTTTTCTCACTCATTGCTGTCTTGCTCCCGACCCTGCGCTCTTTCTATCTTGTATTCGGCTCAACGTGCAGTCTAATATTTTCATGAGGGAGAGACGGGTCATTTCGGTTTGCCTCAGCGCTGACAGAAGTATTATTAGTTGTAGCAGAAGTAGTTGCCGGAACCGTTGTAACGTGTGACAGCAGAGAGGAAGGTAGCGGGATAATGTCCCAACCCAGGTGTTTCACATTGTGCTGTCCTGCGGAGGAAAATGATAGTAACAGATGCCAAACACTGACAGGTTTCCGACAGGACCAAGGCTTTTGCTGATGCTGCAGTTCAGAGCCAATTACTGAACTCAGCCATTGTCACTCTTCTCTCAACTGTTGGCCCCTGGTGTGTGTATGTGTGTGTGTGTGCCAGCAGCATGTAGGGATGGGATAATGTGGGAACCAGGAGCAACTGTCTTCCTCTTAAAGAGACACTTTCAGTGCATGTGTTGTAAGTTTGGGAATGGATGCCAATAATTTATCACTATCATTTCTAGGGGTGTAATCACAAGTTTTATCACAATACAGTATTACAGTAATTTTTTGGACAGTAATAGGGCTGACCCTGACTAAGAATAATCCTAGATGAAAAATAGTCGTCATTTACAGCCATTAGTCAACTAGTCGCCGGCATGTTTACGATGTTAATTTGATCATTAAATTATATATTTTGGGCGGGGCAACACAATGGTTTGAGTTCAGTGTCTGAGAAGGAATAGTACCAGTAACACTGTTAACACTGTGCTACAGAGAAACACAAAACCGTACTAATGAACCTTCATTAATATAGGCCTATATTTTATCTACAAGTGCACGTCACACACTGAGCGAGCCGCCTGTTAATGACGCTGTTGGCAAAGCAGTAATGATTGTGCTAAGTGGCTAATGGGCATGTAGCTACTGACATGTTTCAGATGATGCGTCATGTTTGTAGTTGACGAATGATTAGAGAGTTTACATATCCTTGGGGTCGTCCTTCACCTTCTCAAAATGATCCCACACTTTGGATTTCCTGCCCGACATGTTTTTAGCTAGTCCTTGTGATAACTGTAGGTACCAGCCCTGTGAATTAGGGGCTGTACACATGCCGCCTTAACAAGCGCTGTATAGCCTATTTACCTGAAATCCTGAGCGCAGAGCTGATCTTCTTCCAGGCACTGTTTATAAGTGTGCAGGCCTATTGTCTGTGGGGCAGATGTAAAGCTCTGGGTAGCCCTGCACTAACATGATCAACTTTTCCGTATTTATCAGACTGAATATTTACAGAAGGAGGGAAAGATGTCTGTTGGCTGTGATTGGTTTGTACTGTGACTCCTGTCTGACAGCTGGGCGTGGTCACATGCTGTGTCTGTCTGTTCAAATTAAATTCCCACATGGTCTGGTCATATAGGTTTTGATTTATTTTGACAAGGCACTGCTCCTAATAGAGTTTCACATTTGTTTGTTTGTTTTTCTGCAGCTAAGCGACCAATGGAATCTTGCCGACTAATGCCCTCTTGTCGACTAACATTTGGTGACTATAACAGGGCAGCCCCAGACAATAATGAGATGTTTACAGATATAACAAAGTCTACCATGATACAATTTCAATTCAACTCAGGGGCCTTGGATCAATATGAGACGATATCAGTAAATATCCTCGTTGTCTTTTTCTTGGCTGCTCATGATTATCTGCCTCACATTCAGTTGCCAGCACTATTTGAAAATTTAGGAAGAAGGTGTGCTTGAATGGAAAAATTCACAGAGACGTGCCATTTCAAAACAAAGGCGTACAATAAAAATGGCAGTGTATATCAATGCATCGATAACAGTGGATCATTGATCATTGAATCGATATATTGATTCAGATTGATGTATGGGCTACACCTCCAATTGTTCACATGTAAATAATTCTTTCAAGCTGTATTTTGAGTTTTGGATCACATGGATGAATATGTCTCTGCTTGTTGTAGCTAGTGTGTGTGTACATTATGAGCAATTCTTGTTTGGAAATGGTGCTTGTGCTCTTTGTCATCCCCACGTAACACAGATAAAATTCAGAAATCTGATTATCAAGAGCACTGTAATTATGCAGTATTATTTTGGGTCAGTATCTCTGTGTGTTAATACAGAATGTGTGTATTGATTTGTTTATTGGCCTCTGACCTAAAGCAGCTTAAGGTCTCAGTTATAATTCAATGCCTGTGTGTCAGTGTACTTTGCACATGTAGTATGAGGTATGTCCCGTTTGACCACACTGTTGACAAAGTAACTAGTAAAGTTTCCTATAATTTCAGGACACCCTAAACATAACATCAGTCTCAGATCACAGTGGCTGGATATGTGTTTCAGAAACCCAGCCACTCTCCCATATCCCCATTGTGTTGCACTCCACAGTCTTGTATGTCTGTTCTCCAGCCTGCCTGTGTGGCTGTCAGACTGTCAGAGTGATCGGGCTGCACTCTACCGCAAGACTCAGACTATGAAATGTCACCTTTTAATATGCTAATGTCTTGGGTCCCCGTGGTGCCATTAGGGGAGAATCTGACTCTCCTGGACAAGTGTGTGTGTGTGTGTGTGTGTGTGTGTGCAGCAATGCTGAAGGCACACATATATGCGTGCGGACACACACTGATACACACATACAGGCCGTGTACACGCACACAAGAGTTCATAAGAATGTGTACGTGTGTCATACAGACACACACACACACATATTCATATGTATGTACACGAACGCATCCTCCATGACGCACGTCATCCCTCTTCGTCTGTCCTTCCCCTGACCGGCCTTGGGTGTCAGGGGGTCTGTGGAGATGAGGAGACGGGTTGAATTAATTGTCTCAGAATATCTGGCAGAGAGGTCTTTCCTCCACTCACTGTGTTGAACTTTGTATAACTAATGTTGAACTCTTTAGTCTATAGCCCCAAAGGCTGTGGCACTACGGACCAGAAAGACATTGAATTGTCTTGGATAATGAATTCATCTGTGAACTTTATGTCAGTTTGTTACCAGGGAATGAGCCTTGACTACTTCAAAGAGCAAATGCAGCCCAATTTTTTTTTTCTCCTAAGCAGAAAACCTAACAATGGAGTTAGCTGAATAGTGATAAGAGTCTCCCGTCAGTGGGAAGTGGCTGGCTGTCATGTTTCAAATGATGAGAGAGGAAAAGACAGAAAGAGAATACACAGTATGTGCACATATGACAGTATGTCAGCAGTCATTGGCACTGAGGCCAAACAGAATGAAACGTGGCGATCCGATACGAAGAGAAGCCCAGAACCAACACTGTATGTGTGAATGTGTGTGTATGTGTCTCTAGGGAGTAGTTAATGTTTCTGAAACTCAGCCAGCCCTCTCTCTCGCTCGCTGCCATGTCTCTGTGCCGTGGGGCTGTGGGCTTGAGAGGGAAAGAGGCAGGGAGGGCAAAAGAAAGCAAGGCTCAGGAGAAAGAGATGGACATGCTGGGAGAAGCCCTGCTGAGACAAGATAACACAGACGCCTTAGTAGGTACACCATGTCTCTACTCATATTTCCTGTCAGGAGTGAGCGTGTTTTGTTCTTGAACTATTGATGTGACATCCAACACATATGATATGGCCAAGCACTGAGTAATCACAAACAAATAGTGAGATTTAAACAATGTACTGAAGATACTTTTTCTCTTTTTGCACACTTCCAGTAAAAGCCGCCTGCACGCTCTTGAAAATAGAATACAGAAATGAACACAAATCACATTCATACAACAATGTGACAACTCT